GGGCGAGGTTGTGAATGGCCTTGAAAGTATACAGAAGGATTTTGTAATGGATTCTGAATTTGACTGGAAGCCAGTGAAGCTGCTGGAGGACAGGGGTGATGTGGTGAAAGGAGGGGGATCTGGTAATAATGCGGGCTGTAGAGTTTTGGACCAGTTGAAGCTTATGGAGAGATTTGTGAGGGGCACCAAGGAGGAGTGAGTTACAATAATCAATGCGGGAGGTGACGAGGCTGTGGACCAGGATAGCCGTGGTGTGAGGGGTGAGGGAGGGGCAGAGACGGTTAATGTTTCGTAGGTGGAAATATGCAGACCGGGTGATGTTACTGATGTGTGAGTGGAAAGACAGTGAGCTGTCGAGGATGACACCCAGACTCTTAACCTGAGGGGAGGGGGACACTGTGGAACTGTCAATAGTGAGGGAGAAACTGTCAGTTTTGGATAAAGTGGATTTGGTACCGACCAAGAGGAGTTCTGTTTTGTCAGAGTTGAGTTTGAGGAAGTTGGAGGTGAACCAGGATTTAATTTCTGAGAGGCAGTGGGTGAGGGAGGAGGGTGGAAGAGAGGTGTCGGGTTTACTGGATAGGTAGAGCTGGGTGTCATCCGCGAAGCAGTGAAAATGAATACCAAATTTACGGAAAATATTGCCAAGTGGGAGGAGATAGATAATGAAGAGGAGGGGCCCCAGGACGGAACCCTGGGGCACACCTGAAGTGACGGGGGAGGGCTGTGAATTGAAGGATTTGAGTTGGATGAACTGAGTGCGGCCAGTGAGGTAAGGGTGAAACCAGTGAAGGGGGGGTGTGAGTGATACCTATGGAGGAGAGTCTATGGAGGAGGATTGACACTATGTATGTACCAGTGTGAAGAACAAGTGGAGGTACATTGTTTGTGATGAATGGGTTTGAGATATGATGGGTATGTGAATTTGTATTTGCATTTTCTGCGGATACATATTCTTTCTAGCTTAGAAGGAATTTTATTTAATATGCCCTGTCATGTCTTTCACTGTTGAAAAGCCTCACCGATGTTGACACAGGTCTTGCCCCTGGCCGGATCATAACTTTTTCTTAATTGTTTTGTTCCTCTGACCTTCTCTTTGGCTGTTTCTCTGCTATCTTTCCTCGTTAAGATGCAGTGTGGACTTCAATGTCAGATGAACAGTTCCTGTCGCGCCAACTGCCTTCCTCTTTTCCCGCTCCTTTTCCCCTTTCCTGTGCACGAGCACAAACGCTCCCTGTTGCTATGGCTGCTACGGTGTTGTGAAGCTCGGTCCAAGCCACTTTGTGTACTCTTTACAGAGCCAGGGCTGTGTATGAACACCAGAGGGACAGTTAGCTGACCGTGTGGACAAAATATTCAAAGTGTATTGGAGGAGAATTGCAAAGTCCACCTTTAATCATGTGTATTCATGATTTGTGAGCCATTCCATAGGTAGGTTGACCCCTCTTGGTTACAGGTGGGACAGGTGGGGGAGTGTTTGGATGTTGTGATGGACTGTATTATGTAGACCACGTAATATGACTGATTTGAATATTATGGAATAAAAATTGTGCATCATAAAAGATGATAAACTTCCAAACTATGATGCATTTAATGATTAAACTAGTTAAAATTAGCTCCACCTGAACCAGCACAAACTTTAACACTCTGCCCAATGATACATTAAGTGGGCTACATTTGTATAAAGCAGGGACCGCAGTTGGTATCAGTAATTGATTGCTGAAATAGTCCCTCCTTTGATTTTAACTTTGAATCTATTTTGATCACTATTCAGTCATGAAAAGTGTACATTTTCTTTGAGGCAACCTGTGAGCAACTCGGCTGTTCATAAGATCTTTCTTGTCTGCAAAGGATTGCTGAAATTTGCATTGCGTGCAAATGTATTTGAACATACAGTATAAGAAATTAACTTGGTAAGGATTTTACACACACAAAATGATTTCCCTTGACGTTTTAATCACTCTCCAAGAGGACCAAACTGTTCAGTTTGAGAAGGTTTATTGTGGAGAAACTGAGTTGGTACAGTAGGTTAATGGATCAGCAGCTGACTATGCATGCATCATGAGCTAGACAGGTTCGTAGGGTTTTCACAGCTCAACAAATGAACAGAGAATCTTAACAACAAAAAAGGCACTGAGAAATAACAAATATAGAAACAAGTTGACACTGAGACAGTGTGCGCAACAGTAACACAGCATAAATCTTTCCTTCATACTTGATTCATTCTTTCCTCATTGACAAAATCTGCAGCTTCTCACCGAGAACAACTTTTCTGACAAATTGAGTGTTTACTCAATGTAAGAACTTAGCAAATAAAAGTTTTATCACCCCCTCACAACATCGACAGCTTGTTTCTTTGCCTTACAACCAAATACAGAGCAAAATAAGAACATGACTACATTTCATGTACGCTTTCAGTCATCCACACTAAGAGATCATCAATATAACCTTTCACTGTAAGCTCATCTATCGTGTGTGTGTGCATGCTAACGTGTATGCATGCGTTCATGCTTGCGTGTGGGCATGTGACTGTGCACAGTGAGTGTAATCACAGTATGGATATTTTTTTCACAGCTCATCAGTCTCTCCATCGAAGGGCACACCATCTGCCTCCATATGAATGGAGCCGGGCTCACAGCTGCCCACCCAGCCG